TGAGGGTTGCTGGAGTGGTGGGGCTGGGAGGGATGGGGTGGCTGGGTGATAGACATTGGGGAGGGTATGTGCTATGGTGAGCACTGTGAATTGTGTAAGACTGTTGAATCCCAGACCTGTACCTCTGAAACAAATAATACATAATGTGTAAAAAAAAAAATGAAGAAGAAGATATAAGGAAGGGAAAAATGAAGGGGAGAAATCGGAGGGGGAGACGAACCATGAGAGACTATCGACTTTGAGAAACAAACTGAGGGTTCTAGAGGACGGTGTGGGGGGATGGGTTAGCCCGGTGATGGGTATTAAAGAGGGCACGTACTGAATGGAGCACTGGGTGTTATACGCAAACAATGAATCATGGAACACTACATCAAAAAATAATGATGTAATGTATGGTGATTAACATAACGTAATAAAATAAAAAAAATTCTCATGACTACTTTGTATATGATGTCCTAGGAGCTTTGGGGGAGATTATCAGGTCAAATAAAAATTCTTTAAGATTTATTTTATTGCTGGCTGTCCAAATCTGATGGGCATAAAAATTACTTAGGGAAATTGAGGGAATAGATATAACCAGGCCACAACCAGGTACTAAATCAGGTTTTCTATTTAGGCATTAAAGAGGGGAGGGGGTTCCCAAGTCTCTGTAACTGTATAAAGCTGCTCCAGTGTTTCTTATGCACTCCATTTTGAGAGCTACTGCCTTATATGATACCACCTTAAAAAGCTTTGTCCCTAAGAACCCAGCAGCATTGACATCACCTGGGAGCTTGTTAGAAATGCAGAATCTCAGGACTCACCCCCACCCTAAAGAATCAGAACCTACATTTTAACAAGATTCCCAAATGATACAAATATGCACTAAAATTGGAGAAACTCTGCATTAGAGGACTATAAGAATAGAACTACATGTATAACTCAATGCACACAAAATTGTTATAAGTATTTAAAAGTTGTATGATACATACTAGCTTAAAATGTATAAGATATAATTTATGGTTTTAATTGATACACAAAATTTAGCCACCGTGATTATTATAAATTAGATACAAGGTTTTCAGAGTAGTCAGCAACGTAAGTGTTCTGATAAATGGCTTGGGATTTAGCAAAGATTAATTCCCTAAAGACAAATGTGATCTGAAAAATAACTGATATTGTTACAGCACAGTATCTAAGTGGTGCTAATGATCTAAATCTTAATTTTGGTCATGGTCATATGTGAGGCAGTGAAGCACTAAGGAGCCAGATAGGAGGTGATTTCCCTTTAGAAGGATTTAGTGGAGGAACTGGAAACAAGAGGAGGGAAATGTTCAGGATTAGAAAGAGGAATTACCTCTTTCTAAAGTAATTACATTACTACTAAATGTAATGCTTTACATTTGCTATCTCAGTTAATACCCATCAGAAAATCCGCACAAGAGCCAAGTACTGTTAGCTATAATATTAAAGATATGCCCAAGATCTGGAGTGTTTTTCT